GGGAAAGAGAGAAGGAAAGAAGGAGGAAAAGAGGGAGAGAAGGAAAAAAGGTGAGAAAAAGATAGAAAGATAGACAGAAAGGCAGGCAGGCAGACAGACAGACGGAAAGAAAGGAAAGAAAGAAAGAGGCTTCTTGCTCCTTGTGGCCCGGGGCTGCTGGGAGCAGGGGGCGGGGCTTGTTGCATGTGCCCGCCCCCTGGGCTCTTTACTGCAGGAGCTCTGCTCCTGTGCGCTCCTGCAGGAAATGACCCCTGCTAATAGGTATGCTAATGAGCCCCTGGACCTCTTTTTCTACGAAATGACCCCTTGGTGCTATCACAATTCCAAGAATGGTTCAGACTTCATAAACAGAGTGGTGTATTGGGCAGTGCTCCCTCCAAGCTGTGGAGTCTTGTGAGCAAAAATTCTACTTTGCGAGCACCTGGCATTAAAGTTGTGCGTGAGCGATTTGCCTACGGCATCCTTCCTGAGCTGAGACAAAAGTGTGTGTGCCAGAGGCTAAATAACTGTGAGCTAGCTCACACCAACTCGGTTTAGAGGGAATACTGGTATTGGGGAAGGGCTGCGGCTCAGAAGTAGAGCATCGGCTCAGCACACAGAAGGCTCCAGGATCAACCCTGGAGTCAGTCTCAGTAGACAGTGCCGACCTTGAAGGACCGATGGTCCGATTCCGTATAAGGCAACTTTGCATGTTCACAATAAGCATCGCAGATGGATGAAAATGGAAACACTTTTCAACATCCCCTTTTACGGGAGACGCCGTGGCTCAGTGGATAAAGCCTCTGCTTGGCATGCAGAAGGTCCCCAGTTCAATCCCCGGCATCTGCAGGTGATGTGAAAGACCTCTGCCTGAGACCTTGGAGAGCCATGGAGACAGGCTGTGGCTCAGTGGCAGAGCCTCTGTTTGGCATGCAGAAGGTCCCAGGTTCAATCCCCGGCATCTCCAGTTAAAAGTGCCAGGCAGCAGGTCATGTGAAAAACCTCAGCCCGAGACCCTGGAGAGCCACGGGGAAGGGGGTGTGGCTCAGTAGCAGAGTATCTGCTTGGCATGCAGAAGGTCCCTGGTTCAATCCCCAGCATCTCCAGCTAAAAAGACCAGGCAGTAGGAGATGTGAAAGACCTCAGCCTGAGACCCTGGAGAGCCACTGCCAGTCTGAGTGGACAACACCAATTTTGATAAGCCAATGGTCTGAGTCAGTACAAGCCAGCTTCAAGTCACACACGTGCACAATCTAAAACAAAAATCAATATACTGTTCCAAACTAGCTCAAATTCCAAGCAGAGAACATATCAACTCTGCATATTAAGCAAGTCTAAAACACAAGAACTGCTTTGCTGGATCACAGCGACCACTGATCTGTTCCAGCATCTTGTTTCCAACAAAGGACAGCCGATGGTTCTGTGAAACTCACAAGCAGGAAGAGGAACTGAAGAGCACTTCTCTATTCTTTCATCAACGTTCACAGCTTTAGTACTGTAATGATTCCATGTTTTGGTGTGTGTGTTCCTTTAAATGTTTAGTTTGAATGCAATAAAATGAGAAGAGTGCTAGAGAGTGACAAGTGTGATTTGATTGGCTGATGACTGAGAGTGTGGGAGGAGGGGTGTCTGAGAGGAATCTGTGTGTGTGTCCATGAGGAGATTCTGTGGTATGAGAGAGACAAGTATGGAAGAGTTCTGAAGAGAGTCTGTGTGACTCTGAGAGTTATGAAGGATTCGGTGTGTGAAGCTTGAAGAGAGAACATAGTCTGTGTGACTATGGAATTCTGAGTCTAATTCTGTGTGAATAAGACCAACAGTTCAGTCTGTGTGACTAAGAGAGTTGATTCTATTCTATGTGAATAAAACAAAGAGACTAGCCTGTGTGGCTGTATATATATGAGAGAGAGAGTTTACTGAGAGTACAAGCCTGTCAGAGTGGAGTTTGGAGTTTGAGAGACTGTTTGTGGCACCAAGCTTTGCCAGTTATATTTACAAATTCCTTTCTTCAGCAACTGTTCAAAATAACCAGAAACCTATTCTGTTCTTTATTAAATAAATCAATTTTTGTTTAAACTTATCCCAGAAATCAGTACAGTATTTCCTCAGGGCCACATAGTCCTCTGAAGTGCCCAGATCCTAGGTCATACTACCAAAACAGAGAGATTTAGATTTTTTAATTCCTGGTGGCAGCAGAAAACTACCAAGTTTATGTACTCAGAGAGTGTTTAAAAGTAAAACCGTTTCCCCTATAAGCAAGGACGTCACAAGTACCACTTAGGGGACAATGGCCAAGAGCCATTAATGGACCCATTTTCTTTTCTGTATTGATTTGTACAACCTCTCCTACTTTGGGGTCAGGCAGGAATTTTCCTCCAGGTCAGATTGGTCCAGGGATCCTGGTGGAGGGTTTGTTTGTTTTTTTGCCTTCCTCTGGACATAGAGAAGGGGTCACTAGGGGATGGGAGGAGTGTTTGTGAATTTCCTGCATTGTGCAGGGGGTTGGACTAGATGACCCTTGAGGTCCCTTCCAGCTCTCTGTTTCTAAACTTCACACTTGCACAGTATGACTTTTGAACTGCGAGACGCACACGCACAGCCCTGCTTGGAAAGGTATAAATGGCTCGGGATCCGCATACCACAGAGAGCTCCTTTCCCTTCGTGGCCTGGTGGCTCACCGTATATACGTGGAAGGTAGCTGCACCGATTACGGAAGAGGCCAGCCGGAAAGGCCTCCGCTCTCGCTGCTCAGGAGGAGAGGCTGAAATCCAGTGCGGCAAAGGCGGCACCAGGAAGCTACTTACTTTATCGGTGGCGGTCAGGGGATGAGCCGAGACGCTCAGCAGGCGCATGGAGGCTTCCAGATGCTGTGGCGGAAGGAAGAAATTGGGGACCACGACGGGGTCGGACCTGAACAGCAGAGTTAAGGCTCTTGAAGCAGACTATTATGTCTTCTATTTATGTCATTTACAGGACAATGTTTGAGTCCAGGGACACCTTTAAGACCAAGAAAGCTTTATTCCTGGTATAAGCTTTTTTAAAAAAACATATATTTTTATCGGTTTCCAAACATAAGAAGAAGACCACAAAACATTTCACATAATAATACACTAACATAACATAACCAATGTATTGTAGGTTTCCTACAAGAGTATCATTAAGAACAAAAGAACATAAGAGACGCCAATGTTGGATCAGGCCAATGGCCCCTCCAGTCCAACACTCTATGTCACACAGTGGCCAAAAATACCAGGGGCCATCAGGAGGTCCACCAGTGGGGCCAGGACACTAGGAGCCCTCCCACTGTTGACCTCAGTCATCGTTTCTCCAAGCTAAAGAGCCCTAAGCGCTTTAACCTTTCCTCATAGGGAAAGTGTGTTTTGACCATAACGTATATACTTTATCAAAGTTACAGATCTGATAATAAATTTAAGTTATTATTCACTTTCTGTTACTGATCTACTTATTTAAGAAGACACTAGAATTTCATACTTTTAAGCAGCTTCAAGCTAGAGTGGCAGTTGCTTTTCTACCTATTCTCTTTGAGCAGTTCCTCATCCAGTCCCAGCTGTATCTCATTACACCATTAAAGTAATTTTGCCCATATACTTTTCAATTACCCCACACCTTATTTACCAACCTAAAAGTCCCCCCCCTTTTTTAAATATTATCAGCCCCTACATATTTGTTACCTTTCAAATTGTCAGTAACTAGCTGGTTTGATATTTGTTCCAGGAGCCTCTACATCAGCGGTTCTCAACCTGTGGGTTTGACCATAACGTATATACTTTATCAAAGTTACAGATCTGATAATAAATTTAAGTTATTATTCACTTTCTGTTACTGATCTACTTATTTAAGAAGACACTAGAATTTCATACTTTTAAGCAGCTTCAAGCTAGAGTGGCAGTTGCTTTTCTACCTATTCTCTTTGAGCAGTTCCTCATCCAGTCCCAGCTGTATCTCATTACACCATTAAAGTAATTTTGCCCATATACTTTTCAATTACCCCACACCTTATTTACCAACCTAAAAGTCCCCCCCCTTTTTTAAATATTATCAGCCCCTACATATTTGTTACCTTTCAAATTGTCAGTAACTAGCTGGTTTGATATTTGTTCCAGGAGCCTCTACATCAGCGGTTCTCAACCTGTGGGTCACGACCCCTTTGGGGGTCGAACGACCCTTTCACATGGGTCGCCTAAGACCATCGGAAAAAACAAATTTTCGATGGTCTTAGGAACCGAGACAGATCCTGCATATCAGATATTTACATGACGATTCATAACAGTAGCAAAATCACAGTTATGAGGTAGCAACGAAAATAATGTTATGGTTGGGGGTCACCACAACAAGAGGAACTGCAGGGCTATTTTTGGGCAGGAACGCACAGGAACGGAGTTCCGGCTGGCTCCCGAGTTGGCCACACCCAGCAGAAACTCATTAGCATAATAGGCCACACCCAACCGCAGGAACGCATTAGGATTCGCTACATTAGGGGTGTGTGGCCTAACATGCAAAGGCGTTCCTGCTACAAAAAAGCCTGGGTTTTGACAACAAACAAGGTAAACAGAATAAGAAGCAAAAGGTGGGTGTGGCTGGATGAGCACACTTCTGGGAACATGGGGTGTGTGGCCTAATATGCTAATGAGCTGTATTGTCATGGGTGCGGCCTAATAGGCTGAGTTTCTGCTGTTGGGTGTGGTCTATTATGCTAATGAGTTCCTGCTGGGCTTTTTATACAAACCCACTGCCGCAGAAAGACTAGCAGGGCTCCCCATCTCGAACCATCAGTTCCGCATCATTCGTGGGAAGCCAGGAACATGGGTGCCTTCCTGACTTCCTTAGGCAGGTCTTTCCATACGGTGGGGCCCACAGGAGAGAAGGGACATGTCAGGGCGGTTGTCACCGGTGAACAGGTTGTGCTGCCACAGGAGGTGGCGGCGGCCACAAGCAAGGACAGCTTCAAGAGGGAATTGGATAAGCATATGGAGCAGGCTGCGACAGCAGCCGTGAAATTAAAAGACGCCTGCTCATTGGGAGGAAAGCGATGGCGAACCTCAACAGCATGATAAAAAGTAGAGACATCTCCCTGCCAACAAAAGTCCACATGGTCAAAGCAATGGTATTCCCAGTACTCATGTATGGCTGCGAGAGTTGGACTATAAGGAAGGCCGAGCGCCGAAGAATAGATTCTTTTGAACTATGGTGCTGGAGAAGACTCTTGAGAGTCCCTTGGACTGCAAGGAGATCAAATCAGTCAATCCTAAAAGAAATCAACCCTGACTGTTCCCTGGAAGGCCAGATAATGAAACTGAAGCTCAAATACTTTGGCCACCAAATGAGAAGGGAGCACTCCCTGGAGAAGACCCTGATGCTGGGAAAGATTGACGGTCAAAGAAGACGGGGACGGCAAAGGATGAGATGGTTAGACAGTGTCACAGATGCAAGGAACATGAAATTGAGCCAACTTCAGAGGACGGCGGAAGACAGGAGGGCCTGGCGGGAGCTGGTCCATGGGGTTGCGAAGAGTCGGACTCGACTGTGTGACTGAACAACAACAAATGGAGCAGAGGTCCATCGGTGGCTATGAGCCACAAGGGACAGATAGGAACTCTCAGGCTGGGGCAAGGGATGCTCTGCATTCTTAGTGCTTGGGGGGGGACAACAGTGAGGGGGCTTCTAGTGTCCTGGCCCCACTGCTGGAACTCCTGATGGCACCTGGTATTCTTGGCCACTGTGTGACAGAGTGTTGGACTGGATGGGCCACTGGCCTGATCCAACTTTGGCTTTTTTAAAATGTTCTTATGTTCTCTTAGATCCGGAATGCTGAATGAGCTTCCCAAACAAGCCCCGCTGAAAGAGACAGAGAACGAGCAGCTGAGCGCAGGCCCCTACAGATACATGTATAAAGCGCATAATACATTTCTGTTCATGAGCAACCCAGTTCCTTTAATAGCATCTCAGAAACTCAGAAGCCTTTTGCCATCTTCTGGATTACTTACTTTGTTATTATATTATACTGGAATGTATTCTAAAAAATTTCAATTAAAAATACTGGGGAAAAAAAAATCTTCTGGGCATGGAACCGGGCTCACTAGGTGTGTGTGTGTGTGCGTGTGGAGGTATTTGTGAATTACCTGCATCGTGCAGGGGGTTGGACTAGATGACCCTGGAGGTCCCTTCCCACTCTACGATCTTATCTGAAGGCCGAAAGGAGTTGACATCGTGCACCCACCAGGGCCTTCCTAGTCCACCAAAGCCTCCGGGGAAAGGAGCTCAGGGCAGTGTACGTGGTTGCTGTCTCCTGGCATATTATCCTTCACAGCCACCATGGAATTGCTGAACTGGAAGAAGAAAGCGCCGAGTCAGAGACCCTGGCAGTGCCAAGCAAGCTCTGAGCCCCTGAGCTACACTGCCGCCCTTCAATTAAGCGGCTTGACGGACTTTTGCGTAACTTGAATGCTTGAGCACTCCTGTATATAAAATCCAGTCCCACATCCCTTGCCTACTTTTCTACAGAACCCAACAGCAATAAAAGTCCACACCGTCAAAAGACAAACCAACCAACTGTGCAAAGATGGGCTTTTAAGACCCCAATGATGATTCGACTCATCAGTGGTGAATTCAAGAGTACTGCGGACCTGTCCTGGATCGGATCCAGTGAGCCCACGTACAGCTCTGATTTGAAGCCTGCAGCTGCCAGGAACAATTTTTATTACCTGCAATATCCTGAGAATGCTTGTCTCTGTTTTGCAGAGTGTTAAAATTTAACTGGAGAGGGGCTGGGATGCCCTTCTGTTATGTAATGCCCCCCTCCCAAAGGGACCCAAAAGACGCACGTTGTAAAAAGCGGAAGATGGAGTGGAAATCAACAACTGCCCGTACACAGTGACCGATTTCACACCAGAGCTGCGCCGCGGTCGCGCCTCCCTTTGCCCTGCTTCTATCGGTCAATTTCCCACTCGAAGTCGTGCGGCCGCGTTTTGACCCACGGCTTCGCCAGATTTTCCCCGCGGTTTCGTGATCCTCAAAAAACAGGATCACGAAGCCGCAGGTAAAATCGGGTGAAGCTGCGGGTCAAAATGCAGCTGCACAGCTTCAAATGGGAAACTGACCGATAGAAGCGGGGCAAAGGGAGGCGCGACCGCAGCGCAGCTCTTGTGTGAAATCGGTCAGTGCCTTCTCCGTTGTGGCTTTCCCCTGATAAGAACCTCAGAAGAGCCCTGCTGGATCAGACCACTGAGGGTCCATCTAGTCCAGCCTCCTGTCTCACACAAGGGCCAGCCAGTTCCTCTGGAGGGCCAACAACAGGGCAGAGAGGCCGAGGCCTTCCCCTGATGCTGCCTCCTGGGCACTGGGATTCAGAAGTTGACTGCTTTTGAACATGGAGATTCCCTTTGGTCACCATGGCTAGTTGCTACTGATAGACCTCTCCGCCATGATTCTGCCTAATCCCCCTTTAAAGATGTTTATGTATGGGGTCGCGAAGAGTCAGACTTGACTGTGTGACTGAACAACAACAAAAGTGTCCTGTAGCCATCACTATATCCCGCAACAGCAAATTCCACATTTTGATCACTTTACACATTCAGGGAAGAAGAAGAAGAAGAAGAAGAAGAAGAGGAAGAGGAAGAAGAAGAAGAAGAAGAAGGAGAAGAAGGAGAAGAAGAAGAAGAAGAAGAAGAAGAAGAAGAAGAAGAAGAGGAAGAGGAAGAAGAAGAAGAAGAAGAAGGAGAAGAAGGAGAAGAAGAAGAAGAAGAAGAAGAAGAAGAAGAAGAAGAAGAGGAAGAGGAAGAAGAAGAAGAAGAAGAAGGAGAAGAAGGAGAAGAAGAAGAAGAAGAAGAAGAAGAAGAAGAAGAAGAAGAGATTGGATTCATACCCCGCCCTTCACTACCGAAGAGTGGGGAATCAAGCCTGGTTCTCCCAGATTAGAGTCCGTGCTCCTAACCACTACACCAAGAATGAGGCACTACTGCTAATACGGATGGCCATCAAGGAGACCTGCACATAGAAGAGGAAGAAGAAGAGACTGGATTTCCACCCCGCCCTTCACTACCCAGAGGAGTCTCAGAGCGGCTGACAAACTCCTTCCCCTTCCCCTCCCCACAACAGACACCCTGTGAGGCAGGCGGGGCTGAGTGAGCTCTTGACAGAAACAGCTCTTTTTCAAGAACAGCTCTTATCAGAACTATGGCCTGCCCAAGGTCATCCAGCCAGGTGCAAGTGGAGGAGTGGGGAATCAAACCCGGTTCTCCCAGATTAGAGTCCGCGCACTCAACCCCTACACCACACTGGCGCACTCAACCACTACACCAGAGAGGTTCTGTCTACCCCTCCCGGCCGCAACGGGACAGATTCCACACGGCGCAGGTTCACTGGGATTGGCGAGCTAGGGGGGTCTTGCTTGGTTAAGAAGGCGGAAAAGGATACAACATGACTCTGGGCTGCGGAGGCTCGCCCGAGTCCTCGGGCGGATCGTGGTCGCCCTCGTGGGAGCTGCTGTCTGCCTGCTGCGCGGTTTCCGACGACTCGGGGGAACTCCGGTGCTCCTCCTCATCGGAATCGGCCACTTCCTCGTATTGGGGGTCTGAACGTGACGCCTCCCGTCCCTCCTCCGCCTCTGGAGCAGCAGCGTACTCCGGAGCAAAGCCTCCACCACCCGGGAAAGGTGCCAGTTCTACACCGGCGTCTTCGGCCTGGATTTCTAGGGCGCCTTCCTGCACAGTCTCTCCTTCTTCCGAAGGCCCGTCATTCAAGCCATCTGCGCCTAAGGCTGGTGTGGATCGGAGTGGGTCCTCGGGGCTGCCTTCGAGTTCCTGCCCCGCCCCGCCTTCGCCACCCCCTTCTCCTCCGGAGGGGCCGGCGCCAGACCTGGTGGTGCTGGAGATGCTCAGGGAGTCCTCCTGGGTGACGTTGGACCAGGAGCTTTGGGCCCGCTCCCCGGCGAGGAAAGGTTCCGCTCCGCCATCTGGCCAGCCGGCGACCCTCGTCTTCGCCGCTTCCTGGTCACGGTCCTGCTCCCCTTCGGAGACGAGGCTGGACCAGGGGCTGGTTTTGTCCGTCGCGGTGGTGATTTCGTTCAGCGTTCTGGGCTCTATGACGTCCTCCTCGTAGTCGTCCTCGCTGGGGGACTCGGCGGCCTCGGCCGCTGCGGGGATGGCCAACGGGGGGTCGCTTTGGGAGCTGGCTCGGCCGAGGAATTCGTACAGCATGCCCCGTGCAAAGGAGGCCTCTTCCAGAGAGAAGAGCGGCCCTTCGCCTGCGTGGCCGCTCGAGGCGTCGTTCCGCAGGAGGTCTTTGGGCCCCTCACTGGTCCTGGTTGCTCCCCCCCTCTGGTCCGGAAGGGCATCCAAATGTGAAGAGAACCCTTCGTGGGCCTCTGGAGGTTCTGTGGCGTTTCTGGTTATATTGTGGTTGAGGCCTCATTGAGGGAAAAACGAGAGAGAGAGAGAGAGAGAGATTTGAGTATTAACACAGAGCTGACAGTATAATCGTATATATGGGAACACTTTATGCTGCAAAAATTGTCTTTTAATGTATCAGATTCATCACCAGAAAATTATAACAAAGACATTGTTGCTGTTTGGTACTCTGTTCTAGTTCCAACTCCTGCCAACCTAGCAGGCCCGTAGCTAACGTGGGGCCTGCAGGGCCTGGCCCCCTAGCATTTATTCCAGGCCCCCTCTCTCCCAGGCCAGTACCAAATTGAATTAATGTGATTAATTTTGATTTAATTAGCTGAGCCCCCCCCGGCCCCCTCCCCCCAAAATCCCTAGCTACAGGGCTGCAACCTAGCTGTTCGAAAGCAAGACATTGCAAGTAGATAAATAGGTACCACTTCAGTGGGAAGGTAACAGCGTTCTGTGCGCCTTGGTGTTTAGTCATGCCGGCCACATGACCACGGAAACATCTTCGGACAGCGCTGGCTCTTCGGTTTTGAAACGGAGATAAGCACCGCAACCCTAGAGTCGGATTCGACTGGCTTTCGACCAAGGGAACCTTTACCTTTACCCTGTTGTTAGTTTTTTGCTAGAAAGACATTATTCCAAGTAACCCACAATATCAAAGGTTATCTGTTTTTGAAATTTCTGTTTGGTTTATTTTATGGTTTTAGTAATGTTTGTAACTAATTGCACTATTATTTGCCTAATATTTGATGTTGTAAAATTAAAAAATTTAGCATAAAAAAACCCAAAAAACACAGAGCTAACAAAGGGAGCGTTGACTCTCAAAAGCTTATAAACCTGAAAGTCTTGTGAGGCGTGGTAAGCAAGAAGCATGTGACTGGCCCAAGGTCACCCAGCGAGCTTCCATCTGAACTAGGGATGGGCACAAACCAAATTACGAACCAGAATTCGTCATGAGCTGGGCTCGGTTCATGGTCTGCGAACCTTGGTTCGTGCCATCCCAAGCATGAAAAAGATCTACCTTAAGCATACATCTAGTATACACAATGTCATATATTTTCTCATATCCAGGGGCGGATTAACCATTAAGCAGACTAAGCACGTGCTTAGGGCACCAGGGCCAAATGGGGCACCACAATGTTGGGAAAAGGGTGAAAAGGAAAAAAAACGAATGAAGATTTGTAAAAAAAAATAAATTGATAAAACTACTGCAAATTGATCACGGTGCACCCTAGGGTTTCACAACTGAAACGTGTGAAAAACCCAAATAGATCAGTTATGCTTCAAGAAAGACCCAACTCACTGTGTATATTAACAATTGAAGCAGACATTCTGAGAGGTATTAATTTCGAGGATGTTACCAGTCATTTTGCGAAAATGAAATGTACAGAAATGCCTTTCAGGTCATGAATATTGGAACTTTGGTATATTTAACTTGTGAAATATTAAAACAGATGTTGTATTGCATTTTTGTAGAACTTTATGTAGCCCAAGCTTGGCTTAGTTTGTACGGTATATTGTGTTATCCTATGAATACATTGTATATCTGGTCAGACAGGTCAACAACTGAAACGGACTGGGGGTCAGTGTGGAAAAGAGGGGGGCACCAAGATGGGTCAGTGCTTCGGGCACCTGTGAGCCTTAATCCGCCCCTGCTCATATCTTCCTAACACTGTAACCCTCAATTTTTGTACTACCCCCCCAGGCAGGGTCGGGAGATTTCCCAGCATTATAATTGATTTCCAGCGGACAGAGATCCATTCCCTTGGAGAAAACGGCTGTTTTGGAGGGTGGACTCTGTGGCATAATAGCCTGCTGAGGTCCCTCTTCCCCTCAAGCCCCACCTTCCTTAGGCTCCACCCCCAAATCTTCCCCTCAACCCCCAAAACTCTGACTGTGCCTGGAGCAGCCTGCCTCACCCCTCTCCTCCAAAGCCCTCTGGTTAATGGCTTTCAGGAGGAGGAGGAGGAAGAAGAAGAAGAAGGGAAGAGATTGGATTTATACCCCGCCCTTCACTACCCAAAGGAGTCTCAGAGTGGCTTACAAACTCCTTTCCCTTCCCCTCTCCACAACAGGCACCCTGTGAGGTAGGTGGGGCTGAGAGAGCTAGAAGAAGAAGGAGGAGGAGGAGGAGGAGGAGGAGATTGGATTTGTACCGCGCCCTTCACTACCCAAAGGAGTCTCAGAGCGGCTTACAAACTCCTTTCCCTTCCCCTCCCCACAACCGACACCCTGTGAGGTAGGCGGGGCTGAGAGAGCTCTGGCAGAAACGGCTCTTTTCCAAGGACAGCTCTGACAGAGCTTGTGACTGACCCAAGGTCACATCAGCAGGTGCAAGTGGAGGAGTGGGGAATCAAACCCGGTACTCCCAGATTAGAGTCCGCGCACTTAACCACTACACCAAACTGGCTCACTTAACCACTACACCAAACTGGCGCCCTTAACCACTACACCAAAACGGCTTTGAGGAGGAGGAGAAGAAGAGGATGAGGAGGAGGTCGGATTTATACCCCGCCCTTCACTTGGAGTCTCAGAGCAGCTTACAGACTCCTTTCCCTTCCCCTCCCCACAACCGACACCCTGTGAGCAGTATTCCCTCAAAGCTGAGTTAAGTGTGAGCTAGCTCACAGTTCTTTAGCCTCCGGCTCACACAGTTTTGTCTTTGCTCAGGAAGGGACGGCTCCAGAGCAAACTAATTTAGGCAGCAGCCAAATCCCTCGCTCACAACTTTTAATGCCGGTCACTCACAAAGTAGACGTTTTGCTCAGAAGACTCCACAGCTTAGAGGGAGCACTGCCTATGAGTAAGGTGGGGCTGAGAAAGCTCTCATGAGAACTGCCCTTGAGAGAACAGTTCTTGTCAGAACTGTGGCTTGCCCGAGGTCATCCAGCAGCTGCGAGTGGAGGAGTGGGGGAATCGAACCCGGTTCTCCCAGATTAGAGTCCGCGCACTTAACACTACGCCAAACGGGCTTCCCGCCCCCCTCCTCAAACGGTTCACGTCTTACCGTTGATCAGGCTGCTGACTTGAGACACCAGCTGGTTAGACTTCTCTAACAGATGCCGCCCTTCGGGATCTACTGCCCCGGAGGAAGGACTCGGGTGTCTGCCACTGAGTCCGTCCGCACTTCTGTCTGGTGCGCCCGTGTCAGGGAAAGACCTGGTTAGCTTTTGACTGAAGTATCTCTTGATCTCATCCAGTTCGCTCATGTTCTTCCTGGAAGGAGAAGAATCGAGTGGGAGGTCTTTCTGACCTCGTGGACCTATAGACAGTTTCTGTTTCAGACGCCTTGGGGGGTGACGGGCAGCCCGAACGGGCCAGCTTACCCCGAGCTGATCGGAACTCGGAAGCTAAGCGGGGTGGGCCCTGGTTAAGACTTGGACAGGCCAGGGTTGTTATGGAGAGGCAGGCAAGGGCAAACCGCCTCTGCGTGTCTTTTGCCCTGAGCTGGATAGCCCAGGCTAGTCTATGCTGTTCAGGTCTGGGAAGCGAAGAAAGGTGAGCCCTGGTTAGTACTTGGATGGGAGACCACCGAGGAAGTCCAGGGTTGCTACGCAGAGGCAGGCAATGGCCAAAACCACCTCTGTATGTCTTCTGCTCTGACCTAGATGGCCCACGCTAGCCGGATCTCATCAGATCTCAGAAGCTAAGCCGGGTCGGCCCTGGTTAATATCTGGACGGGAGACCACCAAGGAAGTCCAGGGTTCCTACGCAGAGGCAGGCAATGGCCAAAACCACCTCTGTATGTCTTCTGCTCTGACCTAGATGGCCCACGCTAGCCGGATCTCATCTGATCTCAGAAGGAAAGCCGGGTCGGCCCTGGTTAATATCTGGACGGGAGACCACCAGGGAAGTCCAGGGTTGCTACGCAGAGGCAGGCAATGGCCAAAACCGCCACCGTATGTCTTCTGCTCTGACCTAGATGGCCCAGGCTGGCCAGATCTCATCAGATCTCAGAAGCTAACCCGGGTCGGCCCTGGTTAATATCTGGACGGGAGACCACCGAGGAAGTCCAGGGTTGCTACGCAGAGGCAGGCAATGGCCAAAACCGCCACCGTATGTCTTCTGCTCTGACCTAGATGGCCCAGGCTGGCCAGATCTCATCAGATCTCAGAAGCTAACCCGGGTCGGCCCTGGTTAATATCTGGACGGGAGACCACCGAGGAAGTCCAGGGTTGCTACGCAGAGGCAGGCAATGGCCAAAACTGCCACCGTTTGTCTGCCTTGACCTGGATGGCCCAGGCTAGCCCGGTCTCATCAGATCTCGGAAGCTAAGCCGGGCTGGCCCTGGTTAATATCTGGACGGGAGACCACCGAGGAAGTCCAGGGTTGCTACGCAGAGGCAGGCAATGGCCAAAACTGCCACCGTTTGTCTGCCTTGACCTGGATGGCCCAGGCTAGCCCGGTCTCATCAGATCTCGGAAGCTAAGCAGGGTCGGCCCTGGTTAGTCCTTGGATGGGAGACCGCCGAGCAAGTCCAGGGTCGCTACGCAGAGGCAGGAAATGGCCAAAACCACCTGTTCATCTCTGCCCTGACCCGGATGGCAAAGGCAACTGAATTCCTTGACAGTGGGAAGGAATTCAACTGCTGTGGACAGTTCCAGCACTAGTTGAATGTTCTGATCCCCCCCGACGAAGCCGGTACGGAGAAAGGAGAACCGCATCATTTGCACTTTTTTTTTGTACCTGAGAGCCCGGAGAAGTGAGGTGCGCGAGGACTGGGACAGGGTATCCAGCCTTCCGGCTCGGTGCGCATTCCCTTCCGCCTGCTGCAGGGACTCGTGGAACCGGCGGATGTTCTGCACGTGCTCTTCGTGACGAGGCATGGAGGAAGCGGAGGATCCGGTTCTGCGGAGGAAGGGACGATGTTATGCTAAGTCTCAGGTCTGTGTCTTCACGCAGAGAGCGATTGAAAATGGTTCTGTCCGGCCATTCACGGGGCCTGACCCTTTTGGGTGTGGGCACGACAGCTGCATGGAGGAAACCCCGCCACAGGCCTGCTTTCCCCCATCTTCCCACCCATGCAAGCTTAAATGTTCACACGCAAGCAGCGTAAGGGAACCCTGCTGGGAAAGGGGTGTCTGTGGGCGCCTCCCGTGGTCCTTCCCCTCTGTGTGACACGAACATTTCTTGTGCTCTGGTAGGGCACTGGTAGGGTGAATAGAAGGCTGGGAGCACTGGGTGTATTGGAGGGAATGCCGCTTGGCACGGGGTAGGAAACAGGACTTTATCACGACCCGTGGGCAGTGTTCCCTCTAAGCTGAGTTAGTGTGAGCTAGCTCACAGTTTTTTTAGCCTCTGGCTCACACATTTTTGCCTTAGCTCAGGAAGGATGGCTCCAGAGCAAACTAATTAATGCAGGAGCCAAATCGCTCACTCGCAATTTTAATGCCAGTAGCTCACAAAGTAGAATTTTTGCTCACAAGACTCCACAGCTTAGAGGGAACTTTGCCCGTGGGAGTCCTCCAAATGGGGGCACCATACCCTTGAACTCAAGCAGCCAGCAACGCTTCCTCTCAGCTGCGGAGTCTTGTGAGCAAAATTCTACTCTGTGAGCTACCGGCATTAAAATTCTGAGCAGGTGACTTGGCTACTGCACAAATTAGTTTGCTCTGGAGCCCTCCTTCCTGAGCCGAGACAAAAATGTGTGAGGCGGAGGCGAAAAAACGGTGAGCTGGCTCACACTCACTCAGCTGAGAGGGAACACTGGCAGCCAGACCAAATTATTTGCTGCAAAACCAGTCGTAGCGTGTTGCTCATTTGGTACCTCCGTTGTACTAATTGTATCGACCTGCCCTGTGCTTTTTAGGTGCCTCTTTGTATGGATCGTTACGGATTTATACTCTGTAGTCCACTTTGAGTCCCAGTTAGAAAGGCAGACCATAAACAGTAAGGGTAAAGGTCTCCCTTGCTCGAAAGCCAGTCGAATCCGACCCTAGGGATGCGGTGCTCATCTCCGTTTCCGCGCCGAAGAGCCAGCGCTGTCCGAAGACATTTCCGTGGTCATGTGGCCGGGCATGACTAGACGCCAAGGCGCACGGAACGCTGTTACCTTCCCACCAAAGTGGTACCTATTTATCTACTTGCAATTTCTTGCTTTCGAACGGTTAGGTTGGCAGGAGCTGGAACCAGAGACGGGAGCGGCACTCAGGTCTCGAACTGCTAAACTACCAACCTTCCAGTCTGCAGTTCAGCGTCTTAACCACTTGAAACACTGCACCCCTCCTAAATACTAGCTGGTTGAACTCAAATTCTTTCATTTATATAAGACTAGGAAAAAGGCCCGTTGTGGAAATAAATACAACGGCCTCTAGAAAGAGGCTCTGGGCGGGTGCCTTGGACACTCAGTGTCAATTTGCTGTTGCGACTTCAGCAGGGTATAATGACACTGAGTCCACCATTTTCTCCAGAGCAACTGATCTCTGCTGCCTAAAGAACAGAAGGGAATGGTTGGTTTGGAGGGTGGAGTCTATGACCTTGTACCTGTCTGAGGTCCCACGCCTCCTGAAACCTCACCCTCTCCAGGCTCCTCACATCTCCAGGAATTTCCCACCTGGAGTTGGCAACCCTATATCCTTCCCAGCCAACCATCAACCTACCTTTATTTCCCCCTCACTCTTCAGCTTTCTACCCCACACACACCTGCAGCCTCTCCCGTGCTCTGAAGCCCTGACTGCTACACCACATTGGCTGTCATACGGGGGCCACCTCAGCAGCATACAAGGATACAGAGCCCACCATTTTCTCCAGGGGAACTGATCTCTGCCATCTGGAAAGCAGTTGTAATTCTGAGTGATCTCCAGCCCTCACCTGGAGTTTGGACACATTTTACCTCAGAACAGCAAACTACTTAGAATGTTAGAGGCAAAAACCAATCAAGTCGCATATGCAAACGACCTCTGTGTTCCGAGGCAAAAGCCAATGAGGCTGCATTTGCAAATAACCTCTGTGTTCTGACTGGCTATGGGGGGGCGGGGGAGGAACAGCAAACTGTTTAGAATGTTGGAAGCGAGACTCAAGCAATGCAGCCAGTGGATAGGGACAGATTCTGAGTGACACACCAGGGCGCCAACCAATTCCGGAGCGTGTGGAATGTTCTAGAGAAGTGCCACCACCATTCGGCTTTTATATATAAGGGAGATGGTTGCTAACCCAACTGTATTATTAGAAAACACGTTAAGTTTTAGATAAGATACACTGAACAGAATATCAAGAATATTATTAACGTTACATAGTTTGCATTGTTTGGGATTCTCTGTATCAATTGTTTTATATTCATTTAATAATATAAATTATTAAATTTTAAAAAACTCCAGTGATTAAAAGCCCCACCCACTTTTAAAAAACAGTTGGCTTGCACCACGGTGCCCGTGGGCACCACGTTGGGGACCCCTGAAATAAATACATAAAACAGCAAACATAGAAATTGAATACTACCCTTGATCATGGGAAAACGCAGGATCCCAAAAACCTATTCCCCTAGGGAGCAAGGTGACCGGATGCCCAGTGAGCTATCAAGGGACATACACTCTCTCACTTCCTGTCCACTCGGTGGATCCTCTTTGCCCACTTCCTGTTTCTCTGCAGATGGATGCCCGTGAGCCACCTGTCCAGTTATGATAAACTGGGACTGTTAATCTGTGGGAATTAGGTGGGAGTTTTATTAGGCTGTTTGTGAAGTTCTATTCTAATCCTCCATGGCGCTTGGCTCTTAAAAGTGTTGAAACTTGCTCTGACCTGGAGCACTGTAACAGATCCAAGAACAGTGCTGCACGGTGGATTCTCTGCGTTTAAAGCGGCTCTCATAAAGGTGGAGGAATGTAAAGAGAATTGTTTGAGGAGTAGTGAGGGTTTCTTAAAGTATAGCCTGAATGGCAGATTCTAAGAGTCTGTAAGAGAATGAGTAATTCAGGAGACAGAGAGAACGTTGCTAGTTCCTGTACCCTTAGAACTTGCCCCCCCCTTCCCTAGGGGCAGAATTCCAAGCTTTGTCAAACTAGTTGAGGCAAGTGGAGCCAAGGGCGGGCTCCTCTGGTGTACCTTCAGCCCAGAGGACACAACATCGGCCTCTCACTCTCATGCAATTCCCACTGCAAGTTTCTGGCCCTATAAATTATAAAGTGGACTCCCTCAACATCTGCATTCGGGAACAACAGAAACTCCTACTGGATGTCTTGAGAATTTGTCTTGAGGTTGGCTTGTTGCCACGTGGGCCAGTCCCTGTAGCCCAGAATTGCAGAATATCCACAGAGAGGAACAGCAAGGTCCCCGCGACTGTCAGAAACAGAGGCACCCGCGGTCTGTCGCCTCCTTCAGGTGGCTTGGTGGAACTGCAAAATTATGCCATGGAACACGGACGCCGTTGCTCCCAAATGTCTTTTCCCCACTACTTGTGCCTGTGTTAAGTGCCAGCAAGCCACTTCTGGCGAACCTATGAATTAATGTCCTCCAAAACATCCTATCTAGAACAGCCTTGCTCAGCTCTTGCAAACTGAAGCCTGCGGCTTCCTCTGTTGAGAACGTGATAGCCCTTGCTGCAAGAATTCTTTATGCTAAGGCCGGGAAGAAATCAGAGATACCAACGGAAAATAAACTTTTGACAAAAATCTTTGAAGCGGCAGAGATGGATATACTGTTGGACTTGTTGAAAGACAGAAGTAAACAACATGTGAGAGACAACCGGATACCATTTTAGGACTGGGTGGAAAGAAACGTTGAAGACCAAGAACCACGAATATAAATAGGACAAACTTGGAGAAACTCTAACTCGAACTATATAGAATCTGACTCTTTTTCGGGAATTCTGATAGAAGATTTTAGCAATTTGATTTGAGTAAGGGACACTAGTTTTAGTAACTACATAAAAGAAAGCCATTTGGAAACAGAGAATGAAGACGGAAAACTTGTAACAGCTATTAGACAAACTTGATGAAGCTTCCCTTTATGTCTTATCCCATACCCTATACCCTTCCTGTCCTTACATTTTCCTGCCCTATAATGCGTTAAAACCTAATAAAAATCTAAATAATAATTTTTTTTAAAGAAGAAGAAGAGATTGGATTTATACCCCGCCACTCACTACCCAAAGGTGTCTCAGAGCGGCTTACAAACTCCTTTCCAGGGCTATTTTTGGGCAGGAACGCACAGGAACGGAGTTCCGGCTGGCTCCCGAGCTCGCCACACCCAGCAGCAGTTCATTAGCATAATAGGCCACACCCAATAGCAGAAACTCATTAGGATTGGCTACATTAGGGGTGTGTGGCCTAACATGCAAAGGGGTTCCTGCTACAAAAAAAGCCCAGGGTTTTGGCAACAAACAAGGTAAACAGAATAAGAAGGGAAAGGTGAGTGTGGCTGGATGACCACACTTCTGGTAACATGGCAGTGTGGCCTAATGTGCTAATGAGTGGTGCAGTCAGGGGTGTGGCCTAATATGCTAATGGGGTTTGCTGTTGGGTGTGGCCTATTATGCTAATGCGTTCCTGCTGGGCTTTTTCTACAAAAAGAGCCCTGCGAGTCCTTTCCCTTCCCCTCCCCACGACAGACACCCTGTGAGGCAGGTGGGGCTGAGAGAGCTCCGACAGAAAGGGCTCTTTTTCCCAAGAACAGCTCTTATCAGAACTACGGCTTGCCCAAGGTCATCCAGCCAGATGCAAGTGGAGGAGTGGGGGAATCAAACCCGGTTCTCCCAGATTAGAGTCCGCGCACTGAACCACTACACCAAAGAGCGTGTGATATCCCCATAGCAGAAGATATTCTTGTCAAAAAAGACTCGATTTTGCAGAAAAGGGGTAGCAGTTCTTGTGCAAAAGCCTCTGACGCCCGCTTCCTCTGCCGTTGTTCGGAAAGCCCCGAAGTCTCCCATCTCCCCCCTACCTCTCATGATGGCTGGCCTCAGTGCCCTTGGACAGGGGGTGAAAGAGTTCTTCGGCACCTCTTGTAGAAAAGGTGGGGAGGGCTGTGCACAGGTCCCTCGCCTGGAACGCAAAGGGGCTTGTTGCCGGGATCTGCAACAGAGAAACCGTAAGACGTCTTTCTGAGCTGAAAATGAAGAGAGTTCTCCCTGCACTAAGAACAACGTGAACAGAGGCCAGTTCCAGAAGGTGGTATTGTGGGACAGCTGCCGGGGCCCTGAGGCCACAAGGAGCCCGTGGAGTCACGGCTGGGGCTCAGTGGCAGAGCCTCTGCTTGGCAGGCAGAAGGGCCCAGGCTCAGTCTCCGGCATCTCCAGTTAAAAGGAGAAGAAGGAGGAGGAGGAGAAGGAGGAGGAGGAGGAGGG